CAAAAAGATATTGTTTGGATTTCTTAATATATGTTATTCTTTCTAGCGGCAAATTGAATGCCATCTCCCTCAACCATTGCGTGGCTCTTGGTCTGTTGACATTTTTCCAAGCCAAAGCTATACATTGTTTTGCTGCCAGTGAGCTTATATCTATAAAGGTACATTCTGTTTTACTAAAATGATAGTTCTCAGGGTATAGAGCCAGCAAGAACAATTTAGGATCCAGTAAAATCGGCTTTAAGATAATGTTTTCAATTATAACTTTCACCTCTGTCCAAAACAAAGTAATTTGTCTGCATTCCCACATACAGTGTATTAACGTCCCTTTAGAGTTGCACTTTATGCACAGATCTGGGATGTTGTTATTGTATTTATTTAAATGTACGTAACATAGATACGCATTAGCCATTTAAATTGTAGAATTCTAAATCGACTGTTAATGGACATTGTGTGGGTTTTTATACATTTCCAGTCCTGTTCACTGACATTTGATAATAGGTCCAAATTCCAGTTTATGAGCCTACTACTGTAAATTTCCAATATAAAATAGAAACATGAAAAAAAAAACACTTAGAAAATGTAAGTTCCATCATGTCAAACATTTACTTGGAAAAAAAAAGAACCAACTCAAACATTGACTCATACACAGTCTTTAGTGGGCCACATAATAAAGATGAAGGTTTTGAAACGACAACGTATGTGTACCTTAAACCTAAACCTTTTCTACAAGAATGTTGAGGGTAAACTGTCCAAAGTAAGTCATATTCTGGAAAAACAGTAAGAAAATCACCATCTATTTTGTGAAATAAATTTCTTAACTGATGTAAAGAGTATTTGAATAAAGCATGAATTGTGGCCTTTTGATTAGTCTGAAATAAAATAAGTATGAAATAAATTATGGAAATAATGCATTGTACAACTCAGCACACTACTTTTTCAATACAAAATACAACTTTTTGTGGAAGTGAGGAACAACATGATGCAACATAAAACAAATAAAACATTTAACTTTCAATCTAAAGCATAGAAAAAATTGCAAATTTTAGTTTGATAAAAATTTAAATGAAACATTTAGACTTGAATTTCCTTTAGGGCAAAATCAGAGCTCCAACTTCAAAATATAAAACAGTGAAACAATATTAGACAACACTGCCAAGATAAGTTAAACATGGTGCCTGTACAGTCAAAATTACATCTGAAGAACAGAAAGTGGGAGCCTTAACAAAATGTATGCTCTTAATTAAAAGAGATGTCTTAAGATTATGCTGACCTTTAAACCAAATAAGTCTCTCAAGAACACTCCTGTTCAGGGATAAGTTGCTTTCATGCCTGTATAGTTTTTTGTTTGTTTTTGCGTGGAGGGGCAACAATATCTATAGCTTGGTTAGAAAGTTCTCACTATGAAATTCCACTCAAAGTCCATGAGGTTTTTCAGCAGAGTTGAAACACGGGGGATGACAGTGACCGACTTCTTTTGAAAAATTTTCCCTGTCCCCTTGGAGATGATCTTGCTACAGCTGGCCTTGGTTTGATATCAAGAAAGCGCCTGAAAATGCAGTAATTTCAGATTAGCATATGATGCTTAAGGAGTCAGGGTTTAATGTGTGCTAGATGAAGACAAACTTTTGAATGTTAAGAGTTAATAAAGAGACACCAGCATAACATTTAAACAGTTTTCTGCCAAGTCAACTCTGTGAAACTCCAAATTCCCAGTTGATATCCATTCACCAATTTCACTTTAGCAGCTAATCATAGCAATTCAAGTCAAATTACACAAAAGAAAGAAAAAGAGCTTCCAAACATGTCAATATTTGTAAATATGAATCATCAAAAATAACTTACCTTAGGATTGGCTCATAAAATGCAAGATTCAAAAGGATTGTCCTTGTAAAGAAAGTTCTAGACCAGGGGTGCTCAAGTCCAGTCCTGGAGAGCTACCGTCCTGCAACTTTTAGTTGCAGCCTTACTCCAGTAGATCAGGCTCAGCTATGAACAGGCCTGGTAACGAGTCATTCATTTGATTCAGGTGTGTTGGAGCAGGGATGCATCTGATAGTTGCAGGATGGTAGGACTGGACTTGAGCACCCCTGTTCTAGAGGTTGCTTCCACATGTCACAACAACATGTCTTCTTCAGAAATACAGTAGCGTTCTGTTTAAAGACAGCCTCCTTACCGTTGAATCTAACATCATTCCCAAAATGCAATGCTACTCACAGTATACTACAGTATTTTATTAAAAACAGTAATAATTGCCCAGAATGCATTGTTTTTCACGGTGCAGTACCGTTTTCAATAGAAACAGTATGATACTGTTCAGTTTTGGCCGTTTTTTTTACAGCAATTTGTTACAGTGTAGGATTATAACCATTTCATAATGATTATAATCCATTATAACCATTATGCTATAATGGATTACAGTATAACATGCTACAACAGCATGTTATACTGTACCTGTTGTAGCAGTCAACCAGATATTTTTTTCCTACTTGTGGGGCAAATTTAATTTGCTTTTCCTTTCGTGGTGTGGCTCGGACAGTACTGCAGGAAGTTGTTGAGCATTGATTTTTATGTTCAGCCCAGTGTTAATGTTGACATCCCTCGGAGCAGTATAACACACTCTTACAAGATGAACATTGTCTCAGTCTCACCTTTAATCCACTTGCACCACAGTGTGCACAGAGTTGGGGCACTGCTGATGACGCGGTCACTCCCTGCTCCGCTGGGGTAACCCTTGCTCGTTTAAAGCACTCCCTCTGAATTGGCCTGATCTCCTCATTCTGCAGCCAGCTGAGAAGTGTTCACTGCTGCCACACCTGAAGCAGTGAATGCAATCCTCCAGATTTTCCTGCTGGCAGGCGTAGCACCTCCTCCTAGACTGTAGTGAAGTGGTGGAAAGGGGGGCGTTGATTTCCATATCTCTGATTGGGTGGGAGATGATCATGTTGTCCTTGGGGTGGTGGTAAATCATTGTCATGTGTTGAATGGGGTTGCAAGTAGCTGTATTGCACTGGAGTAGCTTGATGGTAACCAGGATGCACTGCAGGCTGGTGTGTCTGTGATGAGTTGTGGTAAGCTGGTACTGATTGAGCTGGTTTGCAATCTGGTCCTGATACCTGGTTTGGGTGCTGCCTCTGCAGATAAGAGGACTGCTGCATAGACTCTTTAATAAATAGCTTTCAGATCTTTAAGCAGAGTCATGTTTGCTTTCATCTCCTGCAGTTCTGAGAGAATATCTGTTTGGCTCTTACTGTGACTCGACTGGCTTATTTTGTTCTTCTTCTCAGTGGTGGTGTGGTCAAACTGAGCAGAGTGAACAGTGACAGATCGCTGTGGTGCATGCATTTTTTTCTTGTCCTGCCTCTCACTTTCATAGGCAGATGCAATATTTAATTTTTCAAATAAAAGTTAATCAGAAACACAAGCTTGTTCTAGAGATGGCTGAATGTCACGTTTTATGTTATCGTTCAACAAACCAGTCATAACTGTATAGAGAAACATGTTCTGCACTAGCACTGGATCATAACGTAAGCCTGACTCTGACTCTTGTGATGCAAACAGAATCTTCTGTCGTAGGTCTAGAGTGCGGATGAGAAAACTCTGAGTCTCCTCAACGCCCTGTGCTTCTGATGACAGCTGTTTATATAATTCTGTTGGACTTTTTTTCTGATAATGGTAGCACAGTATTCTTCTAGGAGTGGGCAGTGTAAGGTTGTTTTTTTCCCTCTAGGTAGCTCTGTAATTGCATCCCTGGGACAATGGCCCTTATGACAGCATCAACGATCTCAGTCTCTGGAAAGCCTTTGAGAAGGCCATGCTCAATTTGTCGTGCGAGACTGGAAAACGTGAGGCGATCCTTTTGTCCTGGGTCTCCAATTTGTCCAGATATTTTGAATTCTTTGTGCCATACAGCAGGGTCTGATGTAGGACTGAAGCTGGAATTTCAAGGCTGGACATTGGAACTTTATGTACATCCTTCTCGTGAGCATGTTTTTTGGGATGGTACATGAGACTGAGAGGGTCTGGTTTCTGTTGATATACTGTCCAGTATCTCATCATATTCATTCTGCTGTTCGTGTCGTGCTACTTGAAGTTTCTTTACCCGGATAGCTGTAGCCTGAACTTGGAGCTCAGTTATCTTGTCTTTAAAATCACACAGTTCTGTTTGGCTTTCTGCTGGCAGTGTGCACAAAAGTCCTATTATCTCCAGCTGTAATGCCTCTACCTCGGCTGACTCCATCTTCGTTGTGGTAGCTGATCAGTGTTCTGTTGTAGCAGTAATTTGTCTGCTAAATCTTGGTTGCAGCACTCCTGGCACCTTAGGTTAACCTCAGATTACTTTTGCCCTCGGTTGCAGAAACTCAGACTGCCACACAGTTGTCCAGCAGATGTCGTCGGCCTGGGTAAGTAAGTCAAAGGGGAGCTGAATGAGAGCTGGAGACATCTGGTCCTAGAAGTCAAACTTTGCCTCACTCAATCCCAGCGGTGCCTCCAAAATGAAACAATGAAAACACGGACACAATGTTACTACTTTTGTCTCCAGTGTTATAAAGGAGGAGCAGAAACGTCGCGTTCCCCTACATCCGATCAGACAAAACCAATCGAGACTCGATTAACAAACGCTCAAAACTTACAATCTAAAAGGTTAAATTTTTCAAGAATTATAAACAAACATAGCCGGAAAGTAGCATTAACAAAAAAATATATATATTTTTAACTTCATTAAACTTAGGCTACCTTTTACTGTATCTGTCTGTAGCGCTGAACTTGAAAGACCAACATAATTGATCGCAGATCACTAGAACTTGTTTTTCCTTTTAGTTGTCTAAAATAGTTTTATAACCACTACACATGCCATGGAAATGACGTTATGGTCGGAGACCCCTAAGTCACAAGATGTGTGATAAGGAGTACACTTTTCCACCTCCCCCTCAGGACAGAGAGGCAGTAAAGTAATAACCAATTCAGTTAATTTGTTTTATTTTGTGTGTTTTGTCTTACAGATTTGGGATTTGGCTGATCCTGAAGGAAAAGGCTATTTGGACAAACAGGTCAGGAAGTCTGTACTTAAAAAAAAAAGTGGTAACACTTTATTTGATGGGGTGTGAATAAAACAACACTTATCATGAACATGAGTAAGTTCAGCAGACACTTTATGACTCTGGCCATAAAGTGTCATTCAGTAAATCATGAAATTTTTAAATACACTGAGGGTAATCAAGGGAACAAGACACACCTGGGAGTAATCAGCAGGAAGACAGGACAACAAGGAGACTGAGGACACGGAGAAACTCAAATAAACACAACAGAAACACACGGAACACAACAGTACCCCCCCTTGAAGGGGGGCTACCAGACGCAAAACTCAACACTGAAGCCATCAGGACCAGGCGCTTTGTTGTTGGGAAGTGTAGAAATAACAGATTCAAATTTCTGTAAAGTTATGTTGACTTCCAGAGCCTCAGCTGAATCTGATGGCAGTTTTGGCAAATTCAAACTTTCAAAAATTATCTGTCCATATTTTCAATGTCCAATTTTCCTTGTGACTGATAGACACTAGTGTAGAAGTCTGCAAAGCAGTCGTTGATTTTATCCGGATCTGTGAGTAAAGTTTCATCTTCAAGCTTAATACGATGTATGGCTCTAGAGGCCTGTGTTTGTTTAAGCTGGCGGGCTAATAGCTTATGGGGTTTATCGCCTAACTCAAAGTATCTTTGTTTGACTTGAACCAGTAATTTAGAAACGTTTCTTGACATAATAGAGTTATATTCATATCGTAGAGTTGTTATTTTATTCAAAATGTCAGGGCTATGTTTTAATTTATATGCGTTTTCTAAGGTGGTCAACAGGTCATCTATTTCATCCAACCTTAACTTGGACTCTTTACATTTTGCTGCCTCGAATGAGATTATACATCCTCTTATAACAGCCTTCATTGCTTCCCAAAGCATTGAATCATCCACATCCCCCTTATCATTAGAATTCAGAAATGACTTAATTTCGTCTGAGATATAGGAGACAAACTCCTTATCTTTCAGCAGTGCCTTATTTAAGCGCCAGCTCTGTCTCCCTTTTTTAAAATCTAGTTTAAGGTTCAGCAACACAGGAGCGTGATCTGATATGTGAATATTGTGATATTTGCAGCTTGATACTGATGCCAGCAACCTAGAGTCCAATAAGAAGTAATCAATCCTAGAGTAGGACTTATGTACTGCTGAAAAGTATGAATAATCTATCCCATTAGGATATAGCAGTCTCCAAATGTCAACCATATTAGGAGATTGTAATAGACTTTTAAGGGACTCCCTGCTCTTGAATGAATGTCTATGTCTATCTAAAATTGTGTCCAGGATTAGGTTTAAATCCCCCCCAATAATTATATTAGAGCCAACCCAATCCGGTACTAAATTAAAAAGGTCTTGAAAAAAAATGGGATTATCAAAATTAGACCCATATATATTTATAAAAGTCACAGGTATAGAATTCAGCAGCCCACTAACAATCACATATCTTCCCCCTTGATCTGAAATTGTCTGTTTGTGAACAAAAGGTGTATGTTTTTTAATCAAAATGGCAACCCTCTAGTTTTTGTGCTGAAATTTGACTGATATACATGGGAGGCCCAAGAGGGACTAAGAACTTTAGCAGCTGTTTTCTTGATATGAGTTTCCTGGAGAAAACAAACATCAGCCTTCAATGAACGCAGGTGTGCATAAACTTTACCTCTTTTTAGAGGGCTATTTATCCCTCGAACATTCCAGCTAATCAGATTAATTCCATACTTACTTTGTTTATGTGGATCAGTTGACATCAATTTGTATATATTTTAGTAACTATGTGTTGCATGACTGTGAAGATAATTGTACAGTATTCAGAACATGCCGATGTGCAAGAAACAACCCTCCCAATAACGTAATGAACCCTCCCCACCCCCCAACATAACTGAACAGAAACCAGGAGCGGTGTCTCCATACCCCCAACTAAAAGCTAGAACCAGCCTTCCACCTGGTGGAGGATTAGCAACAAGCTTCTCCATCTCTCCAACCCGGGTTGCCGCTCAACCTCATACAATTAACGTATTAAAATGAATAAGTTCAATTTCTCACTCAATGACAAAAATTTTTTACTTCTCGCTTTCTCAAGATTTCAAACATGACAACAAAGAAATGGTCTGTCCACCTGCTTCATTTAGTCCCAAATTGCCAATCCTCAATTTGCCGGCTCAGGAATTTATCGGCATCCTCTGGAGCGCTGAATGTAGCTGAATGATGTCACACGATCACAAATATCGGCAAGCGCCGCTTTGAGACTGGCAATTGCTCCATTGAGCTCCACAAACTTCATGTCGACCGTGCTGCTAAGCTTGCTTATGGCAGCTAGGACGTCTTCATTGGTGGCGGATGGACCTGGAGAGCGCGCGGGGCTCGTGTTAGCATTAGCCACTTCGAAGCTTGCTAGCTTGGTCCGGTCGTCCACGGCCTCATCCCCCGAGCTTTTGTCCTTCTTATTTCCTTTGGGCTTCGTCATCTTGTTCATTGGGTTATGGTATACTACGAATTTGCTGAGTAGAAGTTTAAAATATTATTTAGGGTGAGAAAATGTTGAAGTTGAGTCAGAGCTCCGTCAATACATGTCTACTCAATGTTGAGACCTAGGCCACACCCCCCAGGTTTTAGTGTTTCACTGAACTCCTACACAATCAACACTCCCTCTCTGAAGGCCCTCTTTAGTGATTTATGTAAGTTCAGAAAGTCAGCAGTTGCTTTAGTTTGAATCTTTATCCAAATCTACCTAACTTAAAATCTACTCAAAGTATTCATGCTACATCTAATATTTTATATGCACAAACTGTTTCTGAAATTAATATAACCAAACTTATACTCCCAACATCCCTTACCTGAAATAAAGTGGAACAAGTAGGACCAACAATAAAGATTTCAATAAGCTTTATTACACTGTCAAATTATTTAATAACAGAGTCCTCAATAATTCCTCTTACATCAAGAGGAACAGGCAGCTCCAGTTAAGAAGGTGTCATTATGTATTATTACAGTGCCATTAATATTAACTATTACCTCAAGTAAAAGGAAGCAGGTAGCAACAGTTATGAAGAAGTCATTAATTGTTATTACAGTGTCAAGTGCTAAGTTATCACTCATTAATGTTAAGTCTTACCTTCGGAAAACACCAGACTATTTATAACAACCATCATAGCTGTAGAACAAACCCTTTGTACACTGGAATAAAACAAAAGATAACTTGTTCTTAAGTTTTAACTTCTGGCCAGTATATTGTAACCATGAAATACTGATTGAAAAACTAAAACAGAATTACTTATTCTTTAATTTAAGAAAATAGGTTCTTTCAACAGTCCTAAAATTTTTTGCTTTGATTATGTCAGCCATCTCTGTTATACTCTTTCTGCAGCGTTCTGATAACAGGGAGATCTTCTTCTTGTCTTAATTTCCTAGAAGCAGTTCTATAACGGTATCTGGAAATGCTCAGAAATTATATCTGTTGCAATAGTTGTGGTCAATGTTAATCATGGTGAAAGCCTTTCCATGAATTCAAACTCGATAAATCCCTTCTGGACATTCTCATAGTGGGTGATGACTCACTCCGCTGTGGTCACTTCAAAAAAGGAACAAAAACACATGAACAAAAAATGCAATATGAACTTAATTCTCTCACGTTTTGCGTGAGGAAGGGCGCTGTGGACCACGCCAGAAGTGGAAGGAAGGTTTAATGAAAAAACAACCCAACAAGGTGGGCGGAAGCGCAGAAAGGAGGCCAAGAGTCCAAAACAAACAAACGGAAAACCCAGATGCAGGTGGAAGGTCTAGGCCAGGGGTCACCAACCTTTTTGAGACTGAGAGCTACTTCACGGGTACAGAGCAACACGAAGGGCACTCACAATAGTTATCAGTAATAATTTACCATGGCAGTTATGGTTAATTGCTATTATGTGATCAGAAGTTTTTAGCTCACAGAGTTTTAAATTTGATTCTGTTTTGGAGTTTTTCTCTGATTCTAAACTGGCCACAAGTGACTGAAATAAACCAAAGCAAACTGATGGATTGTTGCAGTAACACCTGCAGCTGTACTGAGTACCTTGAAATTTTCCCTTAAATAAAAAAGAAAAGAAGAGTTATTGTTTTATCTAACCATCTGTTCTATTAGCAAAATTGTGGAAAATAAAATATCTTTTGTGTCAAAACATATTATACACACACAGCTGTCGGTCTGATGCGTGAGGTGGGGAACCCCAAAGCCCAAGTCTTACTGGTCAGTTTGCTTTTATTAATTTCACGGCTTTGCGTTTTTCTGCAAGCTAAAAATGAACGAGTTGGGTTTGAACCTCCTGTTGTTCTACGTTCAGCCTGAGCTTCTGACAGTCTGTGCGGTTCTGACGGGTTTATTCGCTTTTTTCGTGGTTTCGCGAACCGAACATCTGACGGGTCACCCGCTGGCTGACACCAGCAGATGTGGAAAAAATAAAGGTCCGACACAAAACTATCACTGCACCTGACCTGCAAGAGCACAAGCACCTCTCCAATGCGCAAAAATCAGCACAAACCTGAACCAAGAGCAGCGGACTTTTTTCCAGATGATGCTAAATAATAAAGACATGGAAGCGAAGCCTCCTCATGTGGTTCACGGAAAGAGAACAGTGTTGATTCCCAGGTGTGCGCTACAATAAGATGTTTTGACACAATTTATTTATTTTTTCTTCACAATTTTGTTAATAGTAAATAGGGTTAAATAATAAAAACTCCAGAAGTTATTCTTTTCTTTCTTTACTTAAAGGAAAATGTCAAGCTATGCAGAGCGCAGCTGCAGGCGCTGCTGCTCCGATAGCTTCCTGCAGGCGCCTGCGCAGTTCTGAACATTAACAACAGGAAAGAGTTTTATACATAAAGCAATTTATTTTAAACGTTTTTATCATTTCCCTCTTTTGAACTCTAAATATAAACAAACGTCATTACTTCAATGTAAAACCATTTAATTAAATTATTTTTTGGTAGTGCTCCCTAATGATAATGGCTATTTT